GCTCCCACTATTCATCCCTGTCTTTCTGCCTCTGAACCCCTGGTAACTGATCTTTTTATCTCTGTAATTTTGCCTTTTCCAGACTGTCATATAGTTGGAATCATACAGTATGTAGGCTTTTCAGACTGCCTCTTCTCATGGCTTGATAACTCATTTCCTTTTTACCACTGAGTCCTATTTCATTGTATGGCTATGCCACAGTTTATTCCCCTGTTGAGGAGCATCTTGGTTGCTTCTAAGTTTTGATGATTATGAATGAAAGCTTCTGTAAATATTCATGTGCAAGTTTCTGTGTGGACATAAGATTTCAGCGTATTTGGGTAAGTACCAAGGAGCATAATTGCTCGATTGTACAGTAAAAGCATGTTTAGTTTTGGAAGAAACCACCAAACTGTCTTCCAAAGTGGCTGTACCATTTCACATTTCCAGCAGGAATGAGATTCCCTGTTGCCCCACATCCTTACCAGCATTTGGTGGTGTCACTATTTTGGATTTCACCCGTTCTAAGTGATGTGCAGGGGTTTGGTTTTCATTTTCAGTTCTCTAATGACATGTGATGTTGAGCACCTTTTCATGTGCTGTATTGCCATCTGTGTATCTGATGTCTGTTCAGATATTTTGCCCATTTTTAATTGGGTTGCTTGTTACCTTATTGTTGAATTTTAAGAGTTCTTGATATATTTTGGATACCAGTCCCATATCAGATATGTGTTTGCATATATTTTTCTCCCAGTCTGTGGCTTGTATTTTAATTTCCTGAAGATGCCCCAAGTGCCTGATCACCTCCCTTGGAGAAGCAGCTCTAAGATGCTGTAGTGGTTGGGATACCAAGCAATGGACTCTTCTGTCTCTAAAAGGGTTGCCCTTATTTTTATCTTCCCTGTTTAGGGCAGAAGAGAAGAGAGTCAGAAAGTGGATGAGCAGCTGGCCAAAAAGGATGCCCAGGTTAGTAACAGAGCAAAGAAATCATCTCCCTCCTGACTGCCTTCTCATTTCTGTGGCTCCAGCTGGGGCTGTCCTCTCCCCTGGCCTGTCTGAAGGAGAAGCCTGAAGCTGAGCATCACCCAGCCCCAACTTTCTGTCACCTCCGGTGGTGGCGCTTCTTCCCCTGGCTCCTGCCACCCCAGCTGTCAGATGTCTATTCTGCTAGAAGTGAGAGATGTGGATGACAGATGACCACAATGACCTGTGAAGTCAAGTCAGCTCGCCCGCTTCTCATTCCGCCGCCTCAAAAAGAACTGGGTCAGCAGTAACATTTCTGTCTTCTCCCTTGTCCCACAGATCCTCTATAATGCCGGTGAGAAGAGATGGGGCACGGATGAGGATACCTTCACCGAGATCCTGTGTTTAAGGAGCTTTCTTCAACTGAAACTGAGTATGGACTCAAATGGCCATCCTTTGGGAATTGTGTGGTTTGTGCATATGTTTTAGGGTTGAATATACTAAGTTCTGGAAAATGAAGTTAAAAATCACAAAGGCTCTTCCATTTTTATGTGTAAACATTTCAAGAAACAACCTGGGGGAGCTGTGTTCCTTACTCTGGGCAGGAGGAACACGACCCTTGCGTCCCCCTAGAGGCTGAGTAGATTAACCAGTGAGTGACAGGTGATAGACTAGATGGGGAGGGAGGCCAGGGAGGAGAGAGGAGCGAGCAGCCCTCCAGGGTGAGAGCAGAGAGGAGCATTGCTTCCAGCCTGTCTCTTGCCTCATTAGCCACTTTCCATTGCGAGTGAGTCTCTGTGAATGCACCCATGTGGATTAACATTCTGCTTTTTCTGATACGAAGATCAATTGGAAGCAGGGAGGGAGGGCTCTTTTTATCAGACCGACTATTACACTGAATGGCTAAGCACCCACTTCCTCACTCATGCATCTCCCTGAGTCATGCTGGAGGCAACAGCACCAGGAAGCCCAGCGCTCCTCTTACGCGGGCATCTGACTGTGGCTTCCAGGCGCTGGTCTGGAGAACGAGATCGCACTGCGTGTCTAAGCTTGTGCTGAGTTCAAAGGAAATGAGGAAACACAGGGACTGCCATGCCTTTTTAATTCTGAGATCACTTTTCCTCAATCTGGTATTAGAATGATATTCTTTTTTATAAAATAAGGGTAATAGTATTCTAGAGTTGCTTTACTTGAAAAACTGAAAACCGAACAAGCCTAGATCTCTCTCCAGATTTTCTCTTTTTGAAATTTTACTTGGGAAAAATATACTTGGCTTACAAAGTATGCCTACCTGCCCGGGGATGGAGGTGCAGGTTTTGCTTTGGGGCAAATACCGGCCAAGAACTTGGAATGCCTTCTAGGGAGAGGTAGGCCATGTTGCCTTAGGGAGTGTGTGCTCAGCACGAAGAAATCTCCATAATTAAGATTTCAGTAGCAGGTTTAAAACATATTTGACTAATAGCCACATTTTGCTTCCCAGGTGCTGCTATAATTTAAAAATAGACCACCTTACTAGATAAATTATTTATCATTTAGCCTTTCAGGCTATTTTAAATGCTAACAGTCTGGTTAAGGGGAGGGAAGAGGAGGGGAGGGGAGAGAGACAAAGAGATTGATCGTTGAAGAAAATGGCCTGGGAAGTACAAGTTTTATTACTGGTGATTTTTTCAAGAAAAACCAAAAACCTCTGTGCTCAATTTTTAATGGTTTAAAGGAGTTTTTGAGCTTGCCACTTAACGTGATTTGCTGCATGTCAAGTCAAAAACTAGAATATATTGAAGTGTGGTCAACTGAGATGCTTTAAATATTTTTTGTGATGCTGCTTTTCAGCATTTGATGAATACAGAAATATTAGCCAGAAGGACATTGAGGACAGCATAAAAGGAGAACTGTCTGGGCATTTTGAAGACTTACTGCTGGCCATAGGTAAGCCCTCTAGTGCTTATAAACTGAGTTCGTTTGCACTTGTTTTAAACCAGATGTCACGATTAGCCCTTTTCACGTAAGAGTCCTGACTGATCCATCCCGATGCTGCCACAGCTGCCAGCACAGTCCGTGGGACACACAATATGCTCAACAGATACTGTCAAATGGTGCTTGAAGAAGTTCTCTTCCTAGGTCTTCCGTTGCCTTTTACCTTTGTGTTTGGCTTGTCACTACGTTTGGATTATAAACTGCCTGAGAGAGAAAAAGTGTTTCATTTCTACTGGCATTTTTATGGGGTCTGTTGGAAACGGAGACCCAGGCCAATTTGGGAATTCACCATATTTCATTATTTTTGGAAGACGTCAGTGGCCTCCCAGAGTTGGCTCAGGTCGGAACCACAGGTCTCCTCCTTCTTGGCCATGCTAACAGGAGTATCAAAAAGAAAGAGACTGAAGCCATTCCTCGAGTGGCATGTGGATTGACAAGCCAACAGAAACACCGGTACGCAAGCTGATCGATCTCAGTCAGGTCTCCGCATTGTCCTTTTAGACGCCCGAAGAACACCTTGCAGGAAAGATGCATTCAGAGGAATGAGACACGCCTCAAAGGCAGGATTCAGTGGCCACACTAGTCAGAGTCAGGCAGCAAGATTTAAGTGCTCCTGCACACACAGGACGGTTCAGAATCCTAAACCACTCCAATCTGGGGTGGCTGTTGTGTTTGTGACAGGCTGCTTCTCTGTTAATGCCGGGGTTGGAGTACACCTGTCCTCCACACATTTAGTCATTTCACCAATGAAAAATCATTAAATAACCTCCATTGTGCTGATTAATAGTTTCTCTGGTGAAATAAAGACAGGTGATGTTGAAGGGTAACCCCCTGCAGAGAGCCTCTGATTCATCTTTCAGGTGTTAATTACCACCTCTGGAGGGTGAGCTCCCCACTCAGGTCCCTCAAACTGTATTTTCAAATAAACATTCGTCGGGCTCGTATTATGCACTTAGCATTGTGCTAACCTCTTTACAAACATCAGTTCATTTAAGCCTCATAACAACCCCGTGGATTAGGGACCGTAATCATCCCCCATGGCAAAGCAGAGGCACAGAAAGGTTAGGTACCTTCCCCAGGTTACCCAGGGAAAGTGTGGTAGAGCTGGGGGTCTCACCTAGGCATTTGGGCTCCACGGTGCGTGATGTTAACCAGCCTCTCTGATGTACTGCAGTGTAAGCATCACCTGAAACCTGCATGAAGTATATGAAATTACAGAAAACATACCAGAGAGCAAGCGCTCACTGAGGTCCAGGCCCCATTCTCAGGGCTTCTTTCACATATGTTATTTCATTTACTGTCTCATCCTCTTTTCAGTGCCAAGAATAGGGCTCGATCCAAATGCTGCTAGGAAAAAAAAATACTGTTGACTCTGATTGAATTGCTAAAGATAGGCCAAGAAAGAAAAAAAGCTGCTTTTTCAATTAAAAAAAATGAATCAAAGATCAGTCTCCATAATTGGTTCTGAGAATGTTCCAGTGGCAATGATTTAGCCAGTTAATTTTTTTCCATTTCATATTTTAATCTTTACATCCTTTTGCTTGCTGTCAAATTTGAAAAACTTTATTGGGATTTACAAATTCTTACTCATTGAGCTATGAAGCCTTCTTGGAAATAGACATTGAACTATGCACTCAATTTGAGCTTTAATGTATGTTATTTATCAAGTAAAAGAAGGACCTTATAATTCAACTAATTTAAAGTTCAAGATATGTCACACTTTCATTTTCTATTTCAGTCTACCATTGGAATATCACAGTTAGAAAAATCTTCACTGAGATAAAACTCATATACCGTAAAATTCACCCATTTAAACTGTGATTCAGTGCTCTTTAGTATAGTCACAGAGTTGTGCAGCTGTCATCACAGTCTAAGTTTAGGATATTTCCATCAGCCCCAAAAGAAACCCTGTGCCCATCAACAGCCACTCCCCACTCCTCCCCACCCCCAGCCCCCGGCAACCACCAGTTTACTTTCTGTGTTGATGTTTCTGCCCATCCTGGCTATTTCATGCACAAGGGTTCTAACACAGTATGTCAACACTTGGTTTTTGATGTGAAAAACCACCTGAGCTGTATCAGCTTAGACGTGCATGGTAGAAAGATTGCTGGTTGTCAAATCCGGACACAGATTAGGAGAGGCTTTATTCAAAAAGACTATTGTAGTAGGGAAAACACTTCCATCTCGGAAATGTGCAGGAGTCTGAAAATCAAACAGAAAAGGGAAGAGGGTAAATGGACCTTTGCAGAAACATTTAAGGGGAAGTTGGGGGAGCGGGGGCATAACTGTTGGGAGTTGACAGGAAGTGTGTCTCACTGTGTCTACTGATTCTCGGGACAAGTGGGGAAGGGAGCGTGTTCTGCATTTTAGTTCTTGCTCAGGCTGAGGGCCAGGCTGGAGTTCAGGGGCCTGTTGTGGAGCAAGAGGCCTGACTCAAGTTTGGTCAAGACAACATAGAAGGTGAGAAGGGCAGGTGTGAACCTTGGTCATCATAATGAACTTCAAGGCCTCCTGAGGCTCAGGGATTTCCCTGAGTTTCCCTGCTGGCGTTGGGTCCTAAAGCAAGGTTCCTGACCACTGCGTATACCACCGCCTCCCCAAAGTTTCAAACATGAGGAACAAATCTGGTGGCTCAGAACATAAAGCAGAGGACAAGGCAAAGGTTATGAAAGGGAAGGATGCCCTACATTTAGTTTGAGGGGAGGGTGATGAATTTGAAAAGCTTCATAGGATAAAGCGGGCATAAAAACTTCCCAGTGATTAAGGCTTGCTGAATATAAGTTTGCAAAAAAATAGGTAGCACCAATTCAAATCATTGGTTTCTTCTCACACAGCTTCAAATGCGTCACTGTTTTCATGTTTGTCCCAGATTCCATGTCTGAGTTTCCAGTACATTTCTCCTTCTGTCTCCCTTCGATGACTGACACAAAGGAAAGGCCTTTTAAAAAGCTTTCCATAAGAGTCTGTAAGGCATTATGAGAAAGCTGCTATTCTTGTTCTGATCTCCAAAATTCGTTATAAAATTCATTCAGTTTTGATCAGATTCCCACCTGCAGATCAGATGTAAGAGTATCAGAGTAATTGTGCTTCAATAAATAGGTTTATGCCTTACAGACTTCTCCATCCCTGCCTATTTTCACTTTATTTAAAGGATAATTAATTTGCTCATGTTTTTGCCAGTTATCTTTTTCTTATTTTACTTTTGTTTTACTTGTTATTTCAAAATAAAGAATTGAAAGATGGTAGGTTGGTTTTTTTTTTTTTTTTGATGACTGAATTCAGATTACAGGCACTGGTTCTAATGTAATTACTCTAATCAGCCTATACATTCTAATCCAGTCATTTAAGAGCAAATCTTTCCACTGGAAAAATTGGTTTTAAATTGAACTGGAGTGGCCCTGCTTACCTAATGAGTTATTTAGAGCAACATCCCTGCAGTCTTTCCACCCAAGCTATTCATCAGTAGCCAAAGATGTTAGGAACCCAGCAGTGGTACACCCGAGGGGGTTATCAACGTGAGCGTAGGTGTTGGTGTGTCTGCGATCTGGAAATGAGTCAGCCGCTGTGGGAGTTTCTTTGGCAGGTAATTTTATTTTCCCCGTGGCTAAGGATAATTACTGTGCTAAAGTTCCATACAAATATGACATTATAAGGCTTTGAAATTCAGGTTAAGCATCCATTCATTCTTTCATTCTAAAGAAAAGCCAGTAACGGTGAGGAGGAGAGTGGTATGGTTACCCAAAAAAAATCTTTTTAAAAAATGTATTATTATAGATTAACTCAATTTCTATTAAACATTGTGTTTTTTTTTTTTAATAACAGTTCATTGTGCAAGGAACATGCCCGCCTTTTTAGCTGTAAGACTTCATCAGGCTTTGAAGGTTGGTCTGGAAATGTTGTATATATTCCTAGCTTCCCTGAAGGAGAATGTAAAAATATTGCTTCATATGGATGGGCTTTCATATTTCTTTGCCACTTTGATGCATTCTCTTTTGTAGCTGGGGTGTCTACTGCTTTGTCTCATATGTTGATAATGAGTACCCTGGTCATTATCAAGGTTGGTGCAGTGAGGAGTGGACTGCATTATTCCCCTCACTTCACATTAAGTGTAGGCAGTAAATCTGTTCTAGGATGACAGACCTCAAACTTGACCCATTAGGTCTCCAGCAGCCTCTCAAACTGCCTTACTTAAAATAAACCAAGCTGAGTCAGCAGCCTCCCGTGGTATAGAAACCCTGTGTTACCTCATCCATTGCTGCCGCTAGTTGGTGAGCTCCGTGAGTGTGTGAGCGTTTTTCTTGCTCTTTTGTATCTCCCTCCTGGGCCTGGCACGTAGAACATGCTTACTTTAGTTTCTTCTTGAATGTTTCCTGTGGAAGTCCACGTGCACTTCAAAGCCTTGTCCAAAGTGAACACACCACTCTCCTCACCTTACCCCCCAGCCCAGTTCTGCTCCCGGTCCCACACTCAGTCATGCCCCTGGACAGCCCCGGCGGGAGCTAGCCCTGCCCAGCTTGCGAGGTTGTGCCATTCCCCACGAGGCCATATCCGCCTTCTTCCTGATCCCTGACCGTGTCAAGGCTCTTCCCACACCAAGGGGCTTTGCATTTGCTGTCCTCTCTGCCTGGAATGTGCGTCCTCCAGGTCTACCTAGGGCTACCTCCTCACCTCTGCGGTCTCAGCTCAGATGTCACCTCTGGAGGGAGGTCTTCCCTGGCTGCACAGGTCCCCTGGCTTCCTTTCACTCACACTCCGTCCCACCGTTCTGTGACCACTTACTCACACAACTTGTTCATTGTTTTTACTGTCCATCTCCGACTATTAGAACATAACCTCCACGAGAACAGAGATACCATCCGTGTTGTTCACTACACAGATGGTCCAGTGCCTGGCATACAGTAGGTGCTCAGTAAGTGTTTGTTGAATGAATGAATAGCGCAACATCCACCTAACTGCTCAGCTAGAAGGTTTACGCTTCTCTCTCTCCTTCATTCTCCTAAAATGACACATCATTATGCTTTGTCAATCTGCTTTTATAAGCATCTCTTAAATCTATCCATTTTCTCCATCCCTCCTGCCATTATTCTAGGGCAGGCCATCATCATCATCATCATCTCTCTCTCCGTCTCTCTCTCCTTTTTTTTTTTGTTAAGCAACCAGCTCTGGGTGGGTCCCAAAGCTTCTTGTTCTGTTACCTTTATCCCACTTCTGCTCTGCAGTCCATTCTTCATACTGCTGCTGTCAAAGGAATCCTCTGAAACCACAACTCTGACCTGATCTCAACACTCACCTGTTTAGCAGATCGCAGTAGTTCTTCACACTCGGGATAAAGTTGGAATTCCCTTCCATGGTTTACAAGGTCTGGTCTTTCCAGACACATTTCTTGCTGTTCCTCCTCATTCTTTCTGTATCCTTGAACTTGGCCTTTTTTTTTCTTCCTTGTCCTACACCATCACATGTGCTGTTTCCTGCATTGGAACATTTTTTTTTCCCTCTCTGTCTGAGCTCCATTCCTTCTTCCCCTGACTGATTGTTTAGGCCCCAGTTCAAATACCATTCTCTCGAACAGCCCTTTGCCGATCCTTGATCTGTTTCAGGCCTCCCTAGCATATTGTCCCATAGTACCCAGTACCACCCACAAGTCAGATTTTATTGTGATGGCCCATTTTCTTGCCTGGATGTTTTACAGAACTGAAAGCTTAGCAGGGGTTTCTCATCTCTGCTTTCAGCATTTGGCAATGGATGGCACAGAGTAAGTGCTCAGTAAATATTTCGTGAATAAATGAATGATGAGGTTTGACAATACATGAGTGAATCACTGTGGTTGGATATTATGTGCACCACTATCTATTTCCTGTAAATATAGCTCTGTCTGCTGTTCTGTGCACAATGAGGTTATATCGTGCACACCTGCATTTCTTAACAGGGTGCTGGGACTGATGAGTTTACTCTGAACCGCATCATGGTTTCCAGATCAGAAATTGACCTTTTGGACATTCGAGCAGAGTTTAAGAAGCATTATGGCTATTCCCTGTATTCAGCAATTAAAGTAAGTTTCTTCTTAAAAATAGCAAAACATACTGTGCCTCTCGCTACCCATCCTCTTTTCCTTATAATCCTTCAAACATGAAGATACATGACTTAGACTCTCTCTCCCTGTCAGTGTGTAAAAGTGTTTTCTGAGTTTAAAATAGTAATAACAAAATGTCCCTTAAAGGTATTATTTTTCAGCTCTAAAATCCCAGGCACAGAAAAGAGACTCAGCATTTTTTTTTTTTTTAGTTTTAGTGGCCACTAATAATTCTTTTGTAAATTGCATATGCACGTTGCTTACCTATTTTTATATTGCAGTATTTTAATTTATTTCAGTTTTTTTAATGAGAATAGAAAAAAAAGAAAGATATATTTTAAATTTCCTCGTTGTTTTACTGAAAAGATAGCATGGTTCTGCACTTTGAAGTTCTTTTCATTTCAGTGCATAGAAAGCTTTCTCATTCTTTTTAATAGCTGTGTATCTTTCCATTACTTGTATATTTGTACGCACCATGTCAACAGATGTTTAGAGTTTCTTGCCGTTATACACAGTGCTGCAATAGGCATACAGAATTTCACAAGGCACCAGTGTATCTGAGGGATAAATATTCATGCACAGGTGAGATTGCTGAGACAGATATAAATACATTTGTAATTTTGGTAAAGATTGCCAGTCAAGTTCCATTGTGCCTCAGTTAGTCAACTAGATTCATTCACCAAAATCTCTTTTTGTTTTTAACCAGAGCTTTTGTTTTTTTGCCCTAAACCTTTACAGAAAAAGATGCATGCCCAAGTTGAAATAGAAAAGGGCAACTCTCAGGCTGTGCCTGGGTCTTAGCACAGATTTCATCAACCTGCTCCCATTCAATGCAATTTGAATCGATCCTGACACATTACAGTAGTTTCAATCAACAGAGGAAGATACAATAACGTTAACCATATTGTACTTACTAAGGCAGAAAAGTAGACTGATACATTTTATAAGGATTGCCAGTAACAAAGTTGAAATACGAAGAGGGCCTTCGGTTCACCCTCAGCAAACCAGAAAATTAAATTAACCAGTAGCTCTCCCTCCCCTGAGGGTCTGGGTAATTGAGGCTTATTGTATTAGGAAACATTTAAGCTATGCGTATCTTGATAGAAAGGAAAAATCCATTGATGAAGAGTTCAGTGTGTAATTTAAAATTATCTAAGGGTTCTTCATTTCTGTCATCTAACATACATTATTAAGTAATCTCATTACATTTTCAGTACTGATGAATAGGATCTTTTCGATGGTTGAATTTCTGCAACTCAGGAGCTAGAGTTCCATTTTGTATATCGTCCCAGCCTTTGTTTCTGCCTTCCTCTCCATTCCGTCTATAGTTTAGACATTTCTCTGCTCATTAACATCTTTCTTGGATAATTAGAAGAGAGAGGGAGAGGAAGAAAGTGGGTGAAAAGCAAATGTACATCTTTTATTACTTAATAATAACTTATTAATAAAAATTGGATGCAATTACAGTTTTTGGTAGATTTCCCTGATCAATAAATTAAGTACCTGTTTAATAATAGCATAATTCTAGGATCCTTAAAGGAAAATATAGTAGCTACCCTTAATTAATTCATAACTATATGAAGACTTGAGGTGGGCATAAATAAAACAATTAGAAGATAATAATGTGAAACAACATATAATTAAATACTAGACTGTAGGGTATACAGAGGACAGTAATATAGGAATTGAAAGTCAAGGACACTTGGGATTAGATCGGGATCATTTCTTAGGGAAGTGGGTCTTGAATCTCAATATAGATTGGAAAGAGAAGAAAACTTGGAACTGAGATTTAATCATTACTAGCAGTGAATGGCTGGACCACAGGGGATGAGCCTGCAAAGATGAAAGTGAAGATGGCAGAGAGGAAAGAGGAAAAGGCAAGACCACTTACAGGAAAAGTAAGGGCTACTTGCCTGTTGGACATGGTGGTCATTAGATCTGATTTCCCAAACCGTAAGACTTAACGCCTTGGAGAATAAACATGGATGAATCTAGAGTCAAAGGAACTAGTGACAAGAAATGAGAGGCTAGAGCATATTTGCTGTGGTCAGAATGGAAATAGGAATAACTTAAAAAAACTGCAAAGAAATAAGTGGCAGGACAGATTAAGATGGGATCAAAGTGAGGAGAACCACAGGGACTGCTATTAGAAACAGGCAGCAGAAACATTTCGTTCGTTTCTTAACAATTAATATGGCCTAATTAGGAAGGTATAAATTATGTTCAAAGGTTTTGAAAATACATTAACTTTCTGTGATAACGAAGTTTCCAAAATGCCTTATAAATAGAAGAGCTATTTTACGAGAAGGCATAAGGGTATAAAAGTCGGAAAAGAGGATGAACGTTTGTTTATTGTCTACAGTGGAACAGAATTTTACACTTAGTTCTGTGACAAGCTATTTGGGTCTATTTTCCCAACTGATAGACCCCCTAATAATTGTTTACAGCTTTGATCAGAGATGGCCACAGGGAGGTGTTTTAATACAAAGCTAGAACATTGTTGACTCATCAACAGTTCAAGAGATTATTACACACGGCAAAGCAAGAGTTAGGAAAACCAATAGGGAAGAACTAAAATGTACATAAAACTGAAGAATGCATACGAATGCCTGTTGTGGCTCACTATGAACATATTGCTCAACCTCTTCCCCCTCATTTCCTCTACACTACCGTAGTGTGAAATTTGTGATGAGATGTGCTCACTGTTTGAGTTGCCTGGAATCAAATGAGAATAATGTGAGGGTTTTAGGCAATCTGGGTTAAAAGCCAAGTTTTACCTCTGAGGTCATGCAAAAGTTTTACCTCTTTTGCATAACAAGCATGGCGTCTTGCACTCTCACCCTCAGTCCCACAAGGTATTTTTCTGACCCAAGATTTTTTTGTTTTTTTTTTTTTTTGGCTAGCCTAGGGAGAGGGACGGGGAGACATACTCTTCGGGATGTAGTTCATTTCACTTTCTTAAGTCAGAAAGTGCCGTATGGTGTTAAGGGGCCAGGTTAACTGCGTTCACATCCTGCCTCTGCACTTACTCTCTGTATAATTTGGGGCAAATTTTCTAACCTCTGTTTTCCTAATTTTAGTTTGATAAGTGGAGATATGTATGCTACCTACTTCACATAGAGTTACTATAAGGATTAAGCAGTTAACCCTTAGAAGAGCAAAGGTTTGATAAATACCTATATAATTTTTTTAAATACTATAATTTTTTAAAGTTTTGTTAGAAAATTAAGATTATGTAATATTATGTAGTTGATGCACTCATTTTTTTTTAGATCCGAATTGAAATTTAATTGCAATATA